CCTGGTTCACATATATGCGGGCGGTTTTTTCGTATGGGGATTCACCGGAACCCCAACCGCATTCCTGTGCCAATCACAGTTTTTTTTGTGCGTGCAATTGAAGCCATACATTTTGGCCTAATTGCACCACACCAAAAACGTCAGGCCCCTTTTTTTTTTGGTCTCATAAATTTAAAATCAATGGAATTCACACCTATGCGACCCCGATTCTGCACATTGCACGGGTTTTTAAAGGGACTGATTTCAGGTGTTTTTTAAACATACCCCACGCAGGGGTTCGCATAAACGGGGTGCGATTCGATGCGTGCGAATTTGCCAGAAAAAGCTGTGAATTCCCACCCATCAAGTGAACCGGGGCTAAAAACCCAAAGATAAAAAGAATAAGATTCTTTTTTTGCAAACTTTTTTTAAAAAAAAAACACTTTTTTCAAAATTTTTGGACTTTTTCATTTATATTATTATACAGATTTATATTAGTGCCAACAGTTTGCTCAGCGCTTTACCAAAAATAAAGGGAGAACAATACAGCAACAAACAGTTCAATACAAGAGGGTTAGGTGGCCCTGAACCTGGAGCTTACAATCTAAGAAGGAGGGGCTGTTGAGTACAATATTGTAGGAAGTGTGGGGGATGGACTGGTTGGAATAGTAGAAGATTGCCAGTATTAGCTGAGGCAGGATAGGCTTCCCTGAAGAAGAGAGGTTTTCAGAGATCGACTAAAAGTGAGCAGAGTAGGTGAGATTCTGATAAATTGGGGTAGAGAGATCCCAGATTGATGGGGGAAGCTCTGGAGAATACCTGGAGACGAGCATGGGATGAGGAGACAAGGGAGCTAAGAAGCAGGAGGTCAGTGCGAGGAGCTGAAGAGTACGGTTTTGGGTGATAATTTGGAGACAAGATAGGTTGATACATATGATCATCATCCTCCACTAAGGCAGGATCAGTCCATATTTTCAATATCAATGCCAAAATTTCACAATTTCTGCCAAGGTATGCAAACTTTTGAGCACAACAGTATAGAGTAAAAGCAATCTTGCATAAAAAATTGACATAAAAAAAAAAATAAAAAATCCCAGTGGTTGTTTTTGAATAAATACCACCAAAAACAAAGTTATTATCTGTCCTCAAAAAAATTCCTATGGGTGCAGTGTTGCATGACCCGCAAGCAATTGTCATTCATAAAGTGATAGCGCTGAAAGCTGGAAATATCGGCCTGGACAGGAAGAGGGTGAAAGTGGTTCCGGACTTGGAAGTGGTTTAAACAATTGGATGTCACCTGAACCCATTATTTTAAATGGCTGATGGTAAATCTCTGGGCACATAATGCAAATGGAGGGTGACTTGGCGTGTTGCATCATCGCCTGAATGTGTGGCCCTACTTTCGGAAAATGGTTCTCTCCACTATCCCCCCCCCTTCCTTTTCATATGTATATAACAGACTGGGAAGCTTTCTCTTGAGCTTTTGTAGAATCTGGAAAGGTCGTGTGCATTGGTTCGCCATATTTTTTTTTCAGAAATTCATGTGGCATCATGATTGAGGATGCATTTAAAATTGACATTTGAAGGGGATTTTTATTTTGATAAAGGGCGTGTTACAAAAATTTTAGGGTTGTCCCTTGTTTCTAGTTGGCATTTTTCTGTCGAGTTATGGTTGCAATGTACTTCATGCTCATGTCACATGTGTGGTGGTGGTATACTGGGGCCCCTTTATTATAAAGGGGGCTTACAGATTCCCACACACACATTTTCCAGTGGGCAAGGGGTTACATGTGTTGTGCCCTGTTATTGGTTTGGGGGGGGGGCCAATGCTCGTCCTTCATTGCTAATCCTAATCCTCCTCATTTTCCTGAGCTACCCAAGCTGAATTCTCACATTAAATGTCTGGTTATGGATTTCCCGGGGGTGGCCTCAAACCTTCTTTTGTTTGTTAGCATGAGATACACCCTTAAAATTCAAGGTCTCAAAAAGGGTCTGGAATGCAATCGTAGGGGGAGACTCTCTACGCATTTATTATTTCTTTCTTGTAGGATGAGCTACATCAAAATGTGTCATTTACAAAGAAACAATAGAAGTAGTCAGCTAGCAATAAAACTTTATTGTTACGCTTCTTTTTAGAATGATAACATTGCACACAGACCCCTCCAGAGTTCCATCACAATACATAACAGACATCTTAAGGGTGTGCCATTTATTTTATTTCAGGTACTTATATATCACCATCAATTTACGCAGCACTTTACATATATATTTGTACATTATCACATCGTTCCCTAACCCTCAGGGGCGTACAATCTAAGGTCCCTAACTCACATTCATACATACACATTATTATTACATCGAGTTTATATAGCGCCAAAGGGTTTGCTCAGCGCTGTACAATAGAGGGGGGGGACAAACATGGCACAGTACAGAGCAACTACAAACAGCACACGAGGGGTTTAGAGGGCCCTACTCTTTGAGCTTACAATCTAGGAGGGAGGGGTAGTAGTAACAGGAGGAAGTGGTTGTGGGGGATGGAGTGGTAGGAGCAATGAAGGAGAACGGCTGTTAGGTGAGGGGTGGGGTAGGCTTCCCTGAAGAGATGGGTTTTCAGGGAGAGCCTGAAGGTGAGGAGGGAAGGTGACAGTCTGATGGATTGGGGTAGTGAGTTCTCAGAGGATGGGGGAGGACCTGGAGAAGTCTTGCAGTTGTGCGTGGGAGGAGGAGACCAGAGAGAGCAAGATAGAAGGAGGTCCTGTGAGGAGCGAAGGGTACGGGTAGGGTAGTACCTGGGGGAATCAGGTTGGTGAGGTAGTTAGGGGCAGTGTTGTGAATGGCTTTGTAGGTCAGAGTGAGTAGTTTGAATTTGATGCGTTGGGCAATAGGAGAGCCATTGGAGGGAGAGGCAGAGGGGGGGTGGCAGAGGTGGAGCGGGTGGTGAGGTGGATGAGTCCTAGCCCGCTGAGTTTCAGGATAGACTGAAGCGGGGAGAGCCTGCACTGGGGTAGGCCGGTGAGGAGGGAGTTGCAGTATTCAAGGCGTGAGATAATCAGGGAGTGAACGAGTAGTTTTAGTAGTGTCTGGGGTAAGGAAGGAGGAGTGGTATCTTGGCGATGTTTTGCGGAGGTGGAGTCTGCATGTGTTTGTAAGTGAAGTTCACATGAGGTTGGAAGGAGAGGTTAGAGTCCAGAATGACTCCAAGGACTTTGGCTTGCGGGGGCGGGATTGATGGTGGTGATGTTTTAGTAGTGATGGATAGGATGGGGGGGGGGGGGCACGGTCAGGGGAATGACGAGGAGTTCGGTTTCGGAGAGGTTAAGCTTGAGGAAATGGAGCGACATCCAGTCTGATATGTTGTTCAGAGGTGGGCGATGCAGGCGGAGACTGAGGGGGTGAGGTGAGGGGTGGAGGGGGGTGGGGGGTGAGTGTCAGGGCTCCCAGGTATGACCAGAGATGTGTGACTGACGCAGGGAAAACGCAGACTTCAGATATGGGATAAACAATACAATATAATTTATTAACAATACAAACATAAACGCAGTGCAATACTAAACATAATACAGTGCAAACAAAACCAAACCAAACCACCCACAGATAACAGTACATACAAGCAAAGCGTCGTTCAGTCAGGCAGGCCGGGTCAATATCAATTGGGCAGGTAGGTACAGGGGGAGCAAGCGAGAGCGGAGAATGGTCGGGGTCACAGGCCAGGTTCAGCAGCAGGTAGCAAGGCAGCGTAGTACAAAGAGGGTCAAGCAGAGGGATGGTCAGGGGGTCACAAGCCAGGGATCAGAACAGGAAGTGGCAAGCAGCGTAGTACAGAGGGTCAGGCAGAGGAATGGTCAGGGTCACAAGCCAGGGATCAGGACAGGTAGCAAAGCAGCGTAGTACAGAGGGTCAGCAAAGGAACAGAAACAGGATGCAGGGACAGATACAGGGCCCAGGACAAAAACACAACACCAAGGCAGAGTCTGTGGGTTCTGGCCATCCCTTAAATACCCCAGCATAATCAGTTCCAGGTGTTAGCTGGCTGCAAAGTTGAGTCCAAACCAGTACACCACCAAAATCAAAGACTGGCACTAAAAAGTAACAAAAAGAAAGAAAAAATACACAAACCAAAAAAAAAAAAGGAAAACAAAAGAAAAACAATCTGGACTCAAAAAACTTGCAAGGCACACCGGGCTGGACTCCGGCAGAGGCACATCAAGGACACATCGGAGCAGAAGGCACATCAAAACTGTGGGCACACCGGCAGCAAGAGGCACACCGGGCAGTGACTTCTCGGGCAGTAGGCACATCGTGGGACAGTAAAAAAAAAACATTCGGGCAGTCCGGCACAGATGCAAATCGGCGACATGGACACCGAGGCACATTCGTCAGCTGTGGCTTGACTCCGGGCAGAGGCACATCGGGCAGAGTGTCAGAGGTATCACACGGCGGGCTGGGCGGTGGGAGCCAGGACTCCGGGCAGATACGGAATCAAGGAGCAGAATCACCCTAGGCAAGGCAACCTGGCAGTACTATCGGCTGGGGACATGGGCAGGCCTTTACAGGCCTCCGGGCAGGAGGCACATCGGGCTGGACCCCCGGCAGAGGCACATCATCGGATGCTGGACTCCGGGCAGTGTAGGCACATCGGGCAGCTGGACTCCGGGGCAGAGGCACATCGCCTTGACCCCGCGGGAGGGGGTGGTGAATCGGGCTGGAGGGACTCGGGCATCCCCAGCAGGATCACAGTGCAGCGGGCCCCCCGGGCGGCAGCAGCAGGGCACCGGGGCCCCCCGAGTAGCGGAAGCGACGGGCGCGCCGGAACCCCCCAGGCGGAGCGGCGACAGCATCACCGGGCCCCCAGCGGGCGACGGGCGGGCTACACGGGGTAGCCCCCAGGCGGGCGGGGCGAACAGGGGACAGCAATCGGGCCCCCAGGCGGGGCGACAGGCATCGGGCCCCCCAGGTTGGACCGGAAGCAGGTCGCTACAGGACATCTCAGGGCCCTCAGGCGGAGGGCGGGGCGCCGCCCGACCCCCAGGAATGGAGCGACAGGTCTCTCCCGGTCGGCCCTCAGGCGGAGCGGGCGGGCGCCGGACCCCCCAGGTGGAGCGACAGGTCTCGGGCCCTCAGAGCGGAGCGGCATGTCGCCGGATGCCCCAGGTGGGGCGACAAAAAAATGCTTAACGGGCCCTACGGGGCCCACAGCCAAGGCGGAGCGACAGGTCTCAACGGGCCCCCAGGCGGAGCGACGACGGGCAGGCCGTGACCCCCCAGCGCGGAGGAGCAGACAGGCTGCTCGGTGCCCCCAGGCGGAGGCGACAGGTCTCTCCAGCGACCCACCTTCTCAGGCGGAGCGACAAGGTCTCGGGCCCCCAGGCAGGTTGCGGCGGGCGCCAACCCCCGATGGAGCGACAGGTCAGAAGCAGGCCCTCAGTCATGGAGGAGTGCGGGCGCCGACCCCCAGGTGGAAGCGTCAGGTCTCGGGCCCTCAGGCGGCGAGCGGTCAGGGGGAGCGTCAGGTCCGGACCCCCCAGGTGTAGCGGACAGGTCTCGGCCCTCAGGCGGAGCGGAGGCGGCGCCGGACCCCCAGGTTGGACGACAAGGTCATCCTGTAACCCCAGTCATGGAGCGTGCGGGCTCATCGGGCCCCCAGGACGGAGCGACAGGCGTGTCTCAGGGCCCCCATCAGGGCAGGAGCGGCAGGGCCTGGCGCCGGACCCCCCAGGTGGAGCGACAGGTCTCGGGCCCGAGCTCCTCAGGCAGGAGCGGCGGGCGGGCGACGCCATGAGTCACCTGGCCAATAGACTAGTGGGCTCCGAGTCAACTGGCATGACCGCTGGCACTGGGTCAGACATTGGATCGTCTGGCTAGGACACGCGGCATCGGACGGTCACCAGGCATCTCAGGTGTCATTTGGCTCGAACAGCGGTGCAACACGCATCATCTGGCAAAGGTTGGCAGTGGGCTTTCCGAGGTCAACTGGTATGACCAGTCGCTGGCACTGGGTCAGACATTTGGATCGTTTTACTGGTTCTGGACAGCGAGGGCATCTGGGTCACCAATGCATCAGGTCATTTCATTTGGCTCGACAGCGGGCAACCGCGTCATCTGGCAAGGCAGTGGGCTCCGAGTCAACTGGTATGACCGCAGGGCACAGGTGGGTCAGACATTGGATCGTCTGACTGACGGACATGCGGGCATCATCGTCTGGTCACCAGGCATCAGGTCATTTGGCTCAACAGCGGGCACCGCGTCATCTGGCAAGGGCAGTGGGCCTCCGAAATCAACAGCACGACAGCGGGCACCGGGTCACAGTTACTTGGATTGTCTGGCTCACGACAGCAGCGGCATCTGGACAGGGGTCACCAGGCATCAGGTCATTTGGCTTGCCAGCGGAGCACCGCGTCATCTGGCAAGGCAGTGGGGCAACCACCTGTCACCAGGCATTGGATCGTCTGGGCCCGATGTTCATCATGACAGGGCTTGGATCATGGGGTCACCAGGTATGACAACAGCGGGCACTGGGTCACCAGGCATCAGGTCATTTGGATCGCCAGCAGGGCACCGCTTCATCTGGCAAGGTACAGTGGGCACCGAGTCCACAGGTACGACAGCGGGCTCTGAGTCCAATTGGGCATGACAGCGAGCAAGATGGAATCAGTACCGGACAGCTTGGATCAGGCCGAGATGTTAGATGCATCAGGAGTCAAGAGGCCTAAATAGGATAGAAGGCATCAGGCTGGATCAGTAGAGGCATCAGCTGGAGAGGCATTCAGGCTGAAAGATGGCTCAGTCCGTGTCTGAGTAAGAGGCTTCAGGCGAGTAGAGGCACTTCAGGCCGAGAGTAGCTTTCAGGATCAGACTGAGTAGAAAGGAAGGCAGGCTGCTGTGGTCACTGAGTAGGCAGTTTCACCGGTTTGGATACTGGCAGGATGGTATTGGTTGGAAAGAAATTTTCGCTTTTTTTTCTTGGGTTTTAACTACTGGGAGCACTGCAAGTAAACGCAGGTCTGCAAACGAATGGAGCAGCTGGAGACAGAGAAGAAAACTGGAGGATGGAACAGGAGAGGGAGCAGTTTGCTACAGAGGGCTTTTTTTACAGGGTTAAAGGCAGGATAGGTGCAGCGAGTGGGAAACAGGGTACTGACATGCGGTAGATTAGCCAAGATTATACTGGGCTGTAACGGGAATGCTGGAGGAGCTGGTGGGAATACAGGAGTAGAAGTTAGAAGCAGGACTGGGTTTTTGTAAGCTGACTGAGGCTTTGGGTGCAACAAACGTCTGTCCATGTCTGCAGTATGGGTTGAACAAAGCTGAGCTTACACAAAGTGCCTGTCTGGTCAATGACTGCACTGTGCGTTTTATACAATCTCTTAGTGTCTGTGGTGAACATGTGGAATAACGCTCCAGAAAGTAACCCACATCATCCTCTAATAACCACACCCGAGGGACTCTACCTGGTCTGCACTAAATGGTGGGCAAAAAATTCATCCCTGCATTCGGGGGAACCAGATGAAACAACTCTGCACAAACCTCAATCAAAGGCTGCACCTCAGAGAACTCTGTGCCCTGATCTACTAGAAATCATGAGCGAGCCGTATACATTTCTAGCAGTTGATCCCTGGGATACTCCTTCAGAGTTTGATAAGCATACTCCCTGTCATCAAACACTAGCAGATATATAAATACTCAACCTCATCCAGATCCATCCTTCCCATCAACAAGCCAAGATGGCTTCCCTGTGCAGCCAGCCACTTCTGGTCAGGATTGGCCTTGGTGTAATGTCAGGGCTCCCAGGTGTGACCAGAAGGTGTGTGGTGACTGACGCAGGGAAAACCAGACTCAGATATTTTTATCATAAACATATAAATTTATTAACACTAACAATACAAACATAAACGCAGTGCAAATACTAAACATATAATACAGTGCAAACAAACCAAACCAACCACCCAACCACCCACAGATAACAGTACATACAAGCAAGCGTCGTCAGGCAGGCCGGGGTCAATATCAATTGGGGCAGATAGGTACAGGGGGGAGCAAGCGGAGAAATGGTCGGGGTCACAGGCCAGGTTCAGCACCAGGTAGCAAGCAGCGTAGAGTACAGAGGGTCAGGCAGAGGGCAGATGGTCAGGGTCACAAAGCCAGGGATCAGAACAGGTAGCAAGCAATGCGTAGTACAGAGGGTCAGCAGAGGGATGGTCAGGGTCACAAGCCAGGATCAGGACATGTAGAAGTCAGCGTAGTACAGATGGGTCAGCCCAAGGAACAGAAACAGGATGCGCAGGATGCAGGAAACAGGATACAGGGCCCAGGACAAAAACACACCACACCAAGGCAGAGTCTTGTGGTGGGTCTGGCCATCCCTTAAATACCCCAGCATATCAGTTCCAGGTGTTAGCTGGCTGCAAAGGTTGAGTCTCTGATTGCTGGGAAATCTGGGAGCACCCGCTGGCCAGCCCTGGGTACATGCAGATCACAATACATGGCAGCTGAGTCCCACCATTATTGGTGAATTCATTCTGAGAGAGGGTGTGTTGCACTTGTCTGCTGAGCTCCAGAAAGGCCCGAGAAAGCCTGGGGCTAAAGTGCCCTGCCCAGCCCAGGCAGGATGGCGGATCCTGGGCCTGGGTCCAGCGGCGGGAGAAGGCCCTGGAGGGGCCTAGTACCGGGGCCTCATCTTTTCCACCAGTAGAGGACCTGGGAATGGCCCCTAGGAAGGGGGAATAGTTTATTCTGCCTACCGGGACCCGTGTGTGTTGGCCGCTCGGCCAGGTTACTAATAAGAGAAGGAGGAAGCCAAGCTCCAGAAGCTGACTCTTGGAGCTAAAGAAGCTCCGTGGTCATCCTACGACCGTGTATGGTCATACTAAAGCGGCAGGCCATGAAAACCGGACCTGGAGGCGCTGGAACTCCGTGTGTCACAGCAGGGGAGGTATGTGGCGGCGCTGCAGGCGCAGCGCCAGAGAGCGTGCGTCCTAATGTGTGAGAGCGAGAAGTATCTGAATGAAGCGAGATTTAAGGCTGCAAGAAGCCGCAGTGTTGCCGGCGATGCGGGGGTCCGGTGGAGGAGGCCGCCTCTTCGGTGGAGGAATTGTCGGCAGGGATCGGGGGAGTTGCTGGTGGAAGGCGAGCAGGGGCAGGTTGAGCCCACACAGCACCCTCAGAGGAAAATGGCGTCTAAAATGGAAGACAGCGTGGTGGCAGGATCATCAGAGTCCCTCCCCCATGGGCAGCTGCGCCTGTGGTGGATTGGGGGACCAGGTGGAGGAGGAGAGGAGATAGTGGGCGGATTGCAGTTCCTGGCAGAGGCGGTTGCAGAGTGCTGCTGCGTGGAGCCGACTTCAGGTTTTACGTCCGAGGACTCAGAGGAAGAAGCTGAAAGTGATGTCATCTCCCCCGCAAAGCCGGCTAAGCCGGTGTGTGAAGAGAGCATGCTGCCTTTGTCATGCTGCAAACGCATCCCCAAGGACGTGTTGGCAAAGGCAGGGGAGCCACTGGAAGGGGAGAAGGACCTCTGCATGATTGTGTTGGTGAGATGGTTCTGGACACTGGGGGGTAGCGGGTATAATGCCTGCAAAATTGTCTGAGCTGCAGGTTAGCCCTACAGTCCTGGCTAAGGGTGTTTTCCCCTCCGGTGGTGGTCCCACTGGGCCCCGCCCCTTTGGGGGGCATGGTGGCCTCTGTGGTGTGCAACCAGCAGGTCCCCGGGTTCTTCTCCTCAGGGGGCTCCCAGCAAGTTTCTCAGGTCCAGGCTCCCTGCGGGTCCGGCTCAGGTGGGTTCTCCTCCTGCTGGTATGGGTGGTCCCCAGCCCCGGGCTCCCCCCAGGTCATGGCTCATCAGCATCTGCCCCTTCAGTTGCTGCTGCTGGTGTGGCGGCTTCCCCTGGTCCATGCCCCCTTGATGTTGAGTGCCCCCTTGGGCTGGATCGGGGCTCAGTTACTCTGCTGCAGTTAGGGGAGGTCAGGGGTCAGTGGGATCGGCCTACGGGGCAAGGGAGCAGGTAACCTACCCACTTCCCCGCAAGGCGAAATGTTGTTTCAGTTGCATGAAATGGTCAGGTGGAGGGCCCCCCCCTTAGCAGGAGAGAGAGGTCATAGACCGCATATTAAGAATAGAAATGGGCTTATTGCTTCATGCCGCAGATATTTTTTACGGCGTTTATTGCTCCCAGTTGGTACTGGAGAGAATATGACGTGTCCTTCATGCGGCCAGAATTGTTGGACCTCTTTTGAGTGGCAGAGGTATGAGGCCACACTTTGTCACCAGCCCTAGGTGGGTGGGCCCTAACCCCTGGCTCGTCTCTCGCCAGTCCCTGATTAAAAAAAATAACGGTGCTGGTGAGAAATGAATCCATCCCTTTTGCATCAGATTATTGTGGTCTGCTGGCTAAGCAGATATGGGGATGTGATGGGGCCCCTTGGGAAGATCAAGGATGAGAGGGGGAATATGGACAGGTGGGTGGACGACCACCGTCCGCTTAAAAGGTGGTTGGAAATGTGCTCCAGCACATTCCCTCTTTCCGCTTTTCTAGGGAAGGACCCGCCTGATAATTTTTTATGCGGGTCAGCCGAGGGTCTGCCACCGGTGTGGGGGCAAGGGGCATTTTGCGGCCACCCTGCCCCGTCATTAGATGTTCCCTGTGGTCAGGAAATAGGACACCTGGCCAGGGACTGCAATGTTGTCCGTTTGATGCAATCTCTGCGGGGAGCTTGGGCATTCATACAACCAGTGCCCCAGGAGCCCCTCCAATCAACCTGTCTTCGGTGGGGAGCTTGAA